AAAGAACTCTAACATATACAAGACTACTCTGATGGTATGTATTTAAAAACGTAAGAATTGTCCATTAGCTTGTAAAGGACGTTGAAGCTCCTTTCTACATGCTCCTTCTATACTCAGCCTGAGCTGTCACGTTTCTGTCTTTGCTACATTGGTGACAGTCTGTAAAATCCCCTCTGAAAGCTCTGTGCAGGCACAAATGCAAGAGAGCTGACACTCATGTTGGTACAGGAAAAAAACAACAAATGTCCACCACGATGGCAGCTTGTTACCTGTGTTAACAAGTTGTTATGTGTTTTAACAAATTTTCACATAGCAACTTCAGCTGAGTGCAAAAACCTCTGTTACATTATACCTCAGCTGCATGCCGCTGGTAAGACAAAGGCTTCAGAGGGGCTTATGAAGCTTTAGTGGCATAAATCCTGCTGTCACTCTCTAAACGTGTTAACCATTATTTCTGAATGATCTACATGCATCTAAATATTTGTTTACAGAGGAGTTAGATGCTGCATTCTCTGAATCTGACTGAACTATTATAATATGTACTTACCAAGGCTTTACATAGCCTTGAGGCTTAACTTACGTAATGGCTTCTCAAAGAGAAAAAAGGGTTTGCTTTCTCAAGTAGCTTGACTGTGAGGAAGGCAGAGGAGTGTCTCAGCAGCTGTTCTCCCATTAAAAGTACTTTAAAAATGCGCGCACGTGTTGTACAGCGGTTAGATGGTTGGAAAGGAATTTTTTTGGAGATTTCAATGTTGTTCTTTTCTTCCAGTCTCTCATTTGGACAGTGAAGACATGACAGCAATGTCAGAGCTTCCTTTTCTGAAAGCTGATGTCAGAGAGATATTTGAAAGTAAGTTTCATGCTGTTTCAGGATGAAGTACTACACTAGATTCTGCCTTTCATTAAGGATCATCTACTAGCTGATCAGGGACTCAGCATATCCCTGATTAAACACTCTTCTAGAAGGACAAAATCTTCCGTTGGAGCCCAGGCACAAATATCATGGGTAATAACTGATTTTATAATTAGTTTATGATCATGGTGCTTCATCTCCAGGGGTAGGATCTGTCTATTTTTGTATTTGGTCTCTTGCATTTTAAAAAAAATCTTCATTAGTCTCTCTTTAAGGCATTGGATTTGACATATGGTCAACAAAACTTAGTGTAATTGAATAGAAGAAATAGAGGAATCTGATTAGTGAAATTGCGTATGAAATATATGCAAGCATTCCAATCTCTTTTATGAAACCGGCCCTTTCTGTGGAACAACACCTCCACATCTGAATTCTTGAAAGAAAGTACATTAGTCTTCATACGAATTCAGGGTGAGTTTCTTAAGCTTCTCATCTTTAGATCACTGAAAAAAAATTTGTTTTTTATATAGGGAGATACCAGTATTACGTATGGGTTGGATTGCCCAATATTAAAATATTCAGGTTGTATATGAATTTTTTACGCTTTGTCTATTTAATTTTGACTTTTTCGTAGGGGTGGGTTTTGTGGGGGTGGGGAGGGATCTGGTTTTCCTGCAAACTTTGAACAAGCATTTTGGTTGTCTTGGAGAGCAGATTTATGAAAAATATATCCTACATTCTTACAGCCTCAGGGGAAAAACTCAGTGCTGCCATGACATGGAAGGACTTGAAGTTAAAGCAGGTCATAATCTGGGGTCTGAAGCAATTTTCCCCACACAGACAAATCCTATTTGGTCTGTAGAATTTATTTGTCTTCCTTAAAAAGTGGCACTTCTGTTCAGTGCAGCTAGATCTACTGCATCTAAAGAGCTGCACTGACCAGTGGAGAAATGTTCTCACTTCTCTGGGCTTCTATAGAGTTTGTCTGAAACAAGCAGAAAAAAAAATCCCTTTGGATTTTCAGTGCCTTCTCTGCTTTTATCCGAACAGTATGGATGAGAAAAGCATCTCTTCTGCAACTTTACTGCAGAGGAGAGGGAAATGAAATAGGATGAATGGCAGATGTTAAGATAAAGGAGGACATGGCAAGAGGTTGGGGTAGAAAAAAAAACAGTAATGTGCACTTGGGAGGAAAAAAGTAGCATGTGTTGGTCCTATTTGATGGCAACATGTTGCTGTTACAGGAAAGTAAATTTTCACTGGCAAACTTGATTCTGCATGTATTCAGGTTTTGTCTGTGGCTCAGGTTATTCTCTTGCTCTGAATCTCTGAAAGTAACTACCTTTAGATAATGCAGCTGCAGTCCCTTGATAAGGCCTATGTCTCTACACTGCCGCATGCTATGAAATGGTATATGTGTAAAATATGTGAGACTGAAACAAGGCAAGGGCAGAGGTCAAGACCACTCAGAGCACACAGCACTCTAGAGGCACTGGTTTAATCTTGAGATGGGCTCTCTAGAGGTTTTTAGATTGAGCTCTTGGTTGGACCTCCCTGTAGTGAGTCAAACGGCAGAGCTGAACCTAGACTGAAGTCTTGTAAGCAGTTCATTCTTTTGATAGCTGTTGGGCTTTTTTCTTTGTTTTCCAGTTCCTTTAAAAAATTACTTCAAGCCCCGAAGAAAGAGGAGGAGGATCTTGGAGAATCCTCAACTTGGGAGAAGGCGGCTTTGGTGTCGTAGGATGAAAGTGGTAAAACGGGAGTTGTGTAGGAGTAGGCATCAAAAGATGGTCCAGGAGCTGGCTCTGGTGGATGAAAAACCAGAGGGAGCTCAGCAACTCTGCTCACCAGCACAGCTGGGGCAAGGAGGAGACCATCTTTCAGCAGCACAGCTGCTGCCCCCTCGTCAGCAGCCCCAGGAAGAGGACAATGTCCATGTTCAGCTGCAGAGACAGACAGCACGAGGAGGCATGGCTCCAAACTTGGGACCACAACAAACAGACAAGGGGTGGGAGCCCCCAGAGGTGACCGTGCAGGTGCGGCCTCAGAAGCTGAGCCAGGGGTGGGAGTCCCCAGAGGTGACTGTGCAGGTGCAACCTCAGAAGCCGAGCCCAAGATGGGAGTCCTCATCAGTGACTGTGCAGGTGCAGTTACAGCAGCACCGCCGAGAGCCAGCTCTACCACAGGTGACCGTACAGGTCCAGCCACAGGAGTGGGGACAACATACGGCTGGCATCAAGGTCACTGTGCAGCTGCAGCTGGGCTGTGACTCAGAAGAGGTAACCTGCCTCCAGGACCAAGGTGAGGAAGTGTTAGGGAATGGAGAGCAGCTGACCCCAAGACAAAATCAGGGAGAACCAATGGCAAGATCTGAAGGTGACAGAGAAATGGCTGTGGTGGAGCTGATGCCTCAGGGAGCTTTGAGAAAAAAGCAGGGTCAAGGAGAGGTGACAAAATCCCAGCAGGACCAGAGCCAAGAAGAGGAAAGAGCCGAAGTGGTGCAGATGCAAGTTGGAGACGAAGCAGATCTGGTGATAGAGGAGCCACTGCAGGACCAGAGCCAAGAGCAGGAACAGCTAAAAGCAGACCTGCCCACACAAAAGGAAGGTCAAAGAGCTATAGAGGTGGGGCAGGAGCAAGGCAATGTCCAAGAAGGGCCCAAGGGGATGGTGAAAGACCAGAATGAAGACCTGGGGCAAGAAGTGTCTAAGAAACGCCCACGAGACACTCCAAATTATTTTGTCGCTATTCCAATAACAGATGATCAGGTATTTTGAAGTAGCTGTAGCTATTGAAGCAATAAAAATCTTAAATAAGCAGCTCAGCATAAGTTTAAAGTTACCTTGGTTTCAAAGCTTGCTCAGAAGCCAAGACTGATCATATTCTATTCCCCTATCTGAAGTGGTCTATTGGATCTGGCTGGGATAGAGTTAACTTCCCCATAGCAGCCCTTGTAGGTGCTGCACTTTGTATTTGTAGCTAGAACAGTGTTGATAACACCAATGTTTTTGCTCCTGCTGGGAAAAAAAAAAAATCGCTTTGAGGATTGCCATTGCCCTTTCTATAAGGTCTGAGTGGATGTCTCTCCTCACTAATATCTTCTATTCTGTAATCTTTTTCCAAACAAAAGCAGTGGCTTTCACCATCTCGCATTCTTCCATTCTGTTGTCTTACAGCCATATTTAGTGCAATAGTATTGATCTATTAGTTCATCTCCTTCCCTGCTGACGTTCACAAGGGAGGATGAGAATTTCCTGGTCTTCTACAGAAGATTCTCTAGAACTGGTCCATTCTCTCCTCTCCATCTTTTACCCAACAAACTTACCTTGACGTCTTAGGTAGACAGTTACTCAAAGAAGCCATGTGTGGAGTCTGCATGCTCATACTTCACCTGAGTGTGCTACATTCTGTGATTCTAATGTTTGCGGCAGTGTTGAGAAAGCAACAGATTACTTCACATCCGTACTGTTCAACTGAAACACAGCAAACAGCAGAAATCCAAATAGAAATATTTTCTTCTAGGTGCTTTGTGAGTGACTTGAAGCATTGCAACTGTAAGAGTAAATGTTTCTTCTTCAAGACAGCATTGTAGAGCTTGGATACTACAGGCACTGTCTTATGATTCATGGAAGTAAATTCCAAAAATGATACAAAAGCTGGAGAGAGATTTTACAATTTATTTTTTAACTAATGGTGTCTGATTGGTTTGAAGCCCCTAACTTCTGCAAACTCCGTGTCTTTATATTTAAGTAAGAGGGAAAATATTGGCTCACCTTGAGCTACTTATTCCTATTCTGCTGGTGTGAACTTTGAAGCTCATACAAAGCTTTCTGAAAGAAGGATAGTGTTGTTCCCAAAGCAGTGCTGTCAGTACCTTTATGAACAGTTTTTTTTACCCTTTAGCCTCTCACAGACAACTGTGACTTGTTAATGATAATGTTTTGTTAGCAGCTGCTTGGGGCAGACAGAGCCCTTGCGTTGTACCAGCACCCACTGCACCCCTCTTGGCTGGGACTCTGCTCTTGTTGCTGAACAGCTGTACTGTAAGGTGGGATGTGTCCCACGCTATGGAGCTTGATGTAGGGGCAGCAGGTGACTGTGCACTCAAAGGTATTATGCAGAGAAGAGAAAGAAAAGCTTTGGGGTGCAAAGACAAGGAAGAGACTATTCCATCTGACAAAGGCAGGCAGGGGGAAAGTCTTAATTTGAATCAGTAACTGCTGTGTCTCAGCTAGCACAAGTAGAACTGAGAAACAGCTTATAAACTGTGTGAATTATTAATGTTTATAATATATAAGCATATTGGGATCTTTAAGAAACAAATGTAAAAGGCAAAAACTAAATATGAACTTGTATGAACATAGTGATAATACAACCCTTGGCTACCAGCTTCTGCTGTTAGTTTATGGTGCTTTTCCAATGAACCAAATAGATATTGTTTGTTACAATATATTAATTCTTTTTTTTTTTCCCTAGCTTAGGTTTCCAAGCGGTATTTGGCATGACTGTATTTATGCTGCTGAAAGGCAATAATTAAGTAGGATGACTGTATCTGTACTTTTTTTTCCTTTTTTCCAGCATCACAAGCATCTGCAGTACAGAAGCTTGCTTTGGCAGGCTTTTGAGTTTTTTTTTTCTACCTCAGTTAAGTGTAGAAACTCTTATGTACGTGTTAGAGGGAGATGTCAAAGGTGCCTTCCTCTTGGTGGGCAATTATTTGCTCTGGCTTTGTCTTGAGTGGAATAATCTCTGAAGGTTATCTGGAGGATGGCCTCATACAGCTTTCAGTGATTCCTACATATGACTGGCTTTTGAGAGGTGAACAAAAGTGCAGAGCACATCAGGAAGATAAATGCCAGGAAGGGAAAATAACTGTGTAAGCTGGAAGACAATGTTGGCAGAGGAACAAATGGGTATGAAATGGGCAAAGAATAAATCTAGACTGGAAACTAGAAAGTTTCCTGCCATCTGAGGAATGAGATCATGGAACAGCTTCAGGGGACATCAACACCTAACTTATTCTGCTATTTTAATGAGTTTTGAGTGGCCTAATATATGGCCTGTGACCACATTCTGTACAGCTCTATCAGTGTCCTTGCCCTTTCTCCTTTTCTTCTCTCTCAATTCTGCTCTTCCAGACTTCCCTACTCTCACACCAGCTCTGATAATCTGGCAGATCTGACATCCTTGCCTGGATGCTCTGCCCAAGATATTCCCAGTTCATGCTGCTCCTAAGTGCTACCTTCAAGGGTGGCAGTAACCTGAGACAGCCCTTGGTGAGCCCTCTGTGAAATAAAGATTGAAGGGTACAGTACTATAGGGCTGGTATGTGAAGGGTGAGTAAATAAGTATATGTGTGTACACATATACACACATATATATGTGCATATATTTGTCAACAATTTGAGATGCTTTTACCTCTAAAGCAGAGATTTCTGACCTCACTGAATATACAACATGGTTGCCTGTTACACTACAGGCCTTGTAGTCTATTACAGGAGGGTTTTAAAGATGCTGTTAGTTTTTTGGGTTGAATTAATTTCCATTAATTATATTTTTAAGAAAGCTCTCCAGATGATGGGGCCTAGGGCTGTCCTCCCTTTCAACAGCACAAAGGGAAAAGCCTGTTACAGTCCTGGTGGGTGTAGCAGCCCTTTTCCTTTTGCATCTAGCTGGGCTCCAAGAGGCTGGACACCAGCCTCCGGCAATGGGCTTGGGTGGATCTAGGAATGTTGTGGTCTCAAGCTTTCAACATTCAATTACAAGTGGTTCCTTCCTGTTCCTCACTCAAAAAACCCAGCCATCCCATCAAAAACATAGCATTTATAGAAAATCATTACAGACTGATCTGCCAAAAAAAAAGCGTAGAGATAAGGTAGACTGTTCCCGTGGGTGAAAAAGCAGGAAGTTCTGAAGACATATTTGTGAAGCTGACAAAGGGTAAGAAAAGACATTAAAATTGCTCTGCAATAGTTAAATATCTACACAACGGAATTTAACTCAAACTTGTCTTCCCAGCTGTCTGAGCCTCTAATTGAGGAGGCAAAAGAATCTTATTTCTTATTTTAAGAGTAGACTTAGAAAGATTGGGCAAGGGAGGAGAACACAAGGCTGTTTTGTGGAGTTGCTGCCAATACTTAAACTAGTCTGTTGAAGCAAAGATCTTGGTTTGTGTGGTCAGATGAATTGATGGCTTGATTCCTGCTCCATGTTTTCGTGATCTAAGCAAATGCACTGTAAATAGCAGGTCACAATAAGTTGTGCCTCGGTTGCAGTAGGAATTAACTTAATGTAAAAGTCATTTCAGTGATGTGTTTTTCATGGTGACAAATGTACTGTAAGAGTCTGAATTCAGGGTGTTTGCAGTTTGTATCTTCAAATGGATTCCCTTAATTGTGTGTGGCTTTATCCTGACATTTATCAGAAACTCGTTATACTAATCTCCTCTGCTGTGCAGGTCATCGGACTATTTACTGAACTGCACAAGGGCTGCCAAGGCTTTATGTAGAAAGATTGCAAAGCAAAAACATATTGACCCAGCTGTTTCAACCTATGTAAGAATAAAGTGGAGCTCTAACATGTGTGAGCACCTAGGCATGTAAGCCAGAAGTCGCTCAGTGACATAATCCAAAAATCTATAAATGACTTGGCTGTAACAAATGCCTAGTCCCTGTGTGATTGAATTCTTCTTCCTCCTGCCTTGTTGCTGTGACTGGTTTATAAACCTTGACAGATCATTTTGAAAAAAATCTTTCTTTGGAGTCAGTTGTGTAAAGGCACAGACAGAGCCAGAAACTGGCCATGCAGTTCTAGAAGATAACTCAGAAAACAGCATATTTACCCAGTTGATCTACTTGGCTTGCTGTTAGTTTCCTTTTGGGAAGAGACATCAGTCTAATCTGTGATCAAACTTGTAATCAGAAAATGGTGTAAGATTAATTGTGGAAATGCTATTCAATTTCCACAGTCTATTAACAACTGACAACTGCATGAAGATCCCATTAATATTTACACAGTGCTGTGAAGTTTATTCTAATGTGCTTGGGGTCAGATTCAGACCTACTTTAATATCTAGGGATGCTGGCTCACGTGAGACCTATGAGTTTAGCCTGTAGGCTTTAAAAAAGAAAACAGATCAATTGGTTCCTGAAAAATTGACTTTGAAATTGAAACTGAAATTCGTTATATGATAGATCTGGGGGATTTTGTTTTGCAGATTCCTGGCTTAAACTTGGCTTGCATTTTTGGGGTGTGTAAGTCTTTAGTGTTCTGTATTTTTGCGGTAACCGGGGCACTCTAACACGAAATCTTATTTCCCTGTCTCTTGTTTACTGCACTGTAGATTTTGGACAGAATTGAAGATGTCCAAGAGCTCATATTCACTAAAGAACCTGACCTGTTGAGAACTCTTCTTCCTGTTCAAACTATGCACCTTACTATAATAGTAGCTCACCTGGGAACAGAAGAAGAAGTAAAAAAGTAAGAATCCTGCAAAATTCAAGTGCAGCTAATTTGTTTGTAAATGTGGTGGCCTTACTGCTGCTGTTGTGAATAATTATGTTTTAGCAGAGCCTACACATGATTTCTCTTGGACTTTTTTGATCATTTTCTGGCTTGTTCTCAGTACCACGAGGGAAGATCTTTACAAAAGCTAAATGTGATGCTTCAAGGGTTGAAATGTCTTGTATCTGCTATGGGGTGAAGAGAAAAAGCAGCATGGCTGCAAATAGTATTACTACTCTGTTACTACCATAAATTAAGTCAACAGATGTAAAGCTCCCTGAGCTGCTGCCTTTTGAGAAACTGCAGCTTTTCAGATCAGCTGTGCTTGTATCAGCTGGAAAATGTTAGCTGATAGGATGTGTTACATTAAGAAGAAAACAAAAAATAATCTGCCTAGTTCCTTTCCAAGCTGCTCTCTTGTCTAATTCAAGCTGTGGACTGTCACTGGGGCCCCGTAAATTGAGATGGGAATACTGAAAGATGACTAAGGAAAGCTACCCTGTGGGGTAAGGAAGGTTAGAGCTGCTAGAAAGATCCAGCAAACAGCCAGTACGCTGCAGGTTTTTTCTTTAAGCCTCATCCTACTGTACCGCACTGGGAAACTTGAGACTTGTTGGCATGAGGAGGCAGGGAGGGGAAGGCCCTTTGGTGTCTGGAAAGGCATCATGTGGTAGAGGTGGGAGCCTGGGGAGAGCCACCCTTTCTCCAAGGACCTTGATGCACATCAGCAAGGGAATGAAAAACGGTCAGGGCTCTGCACCGTACAAGTGTGACATGGGATCTGCTTGGGCATAAAGCAGAATACTTGGCTGCAAAGATGTCAGAAAAGCCAGTATGAGTAGAAAAAAAACCTTCTGCCCATACTGGCAGCAACAGTTAAACAGGATTAAGATGCACATGACAGGTTTGTGCCTTATTTTAAAATTATCTGCTTTATAGTACCTTCCAGAGGCTTTTTTGGAGGGCCTGAGGGGAGAAAAGATAGGAGGACCATTATGTGGGCTAAGGAGCCTGCATGCAAGAGATACAATGTACAGTAATTCAGTAATAAAAACCTGTGCCAGTGCTGCTGACTGGGCAGGCTGTCTTCCAAAAGAAGAGGAAGCTAGTGGAGAGCAGCAATAAAAACGGGGATCAATTGGTTATGGAGGTGAGCGGAGCTAAGTTGTGTTAATGAACTTAAGAGTGGATGTGTGCCTGTAATATAAAAATAATGGGCATACCTAATGAAAAGCAGATCCTCCTTGCCAAATGCTTTTTGTCCTTTATCTTCTACCTACCTACAGATCTCTACTAAATGAGGCTGTAGTTCAGTGGCTACTGCTCTGTGCTGCCACAAGAAAGACTGAATGAAGGTGTCAGGCTGAGAATTTATTGCTTCTCAAGCTAACAGCACTGCTGAAACAGCTGGCCCAGCCCCTTGCAGAGGAGGGAGGCATCTTCAGATCTCATGTCAGAAGTTGTTCTAGCAGCACTTAATGGTAGCTTAGACGTTATGGACTTAAATGAAGGGCTGGATGAGCCCTGCTGGTTATTAAGGTGGAAGAAGCAACATCATCCGCAAAGAATTCATTCCCTTTCCACCTTGAGTTTTGTCTTTGCTGAATCTTCATTTGCAGAGTCCTCAGGGTCTCAGAAAGAAGCAGCTCCTATGTCATTATAGCTGAAATAACTCCAATGTAGCAGTGACAATTGCTCATGGTGTTAACTGTTGTTGGCTGAAATGGCCTTTGTGTGCATGACACATGCTGTCCTAAAGGAATTCATTTGTGCTGTGTGGGTTGTAGTGCATGATTTCTATTTGGATAATGTTACACAATTCCAAGAGTTTTTTTAAGCAACAGAATGAATGTAGTCAAAACTTGTTCTAGGTGTAAATAAAGTAAACGTGGCAACAGGAGCTACAGCAACCCATGGGCTGGTGTCCTGCAGTCCTTAGTTATGCGGCATTTTGTTAGAAGTATGAAGCATTACCAGAAAGTTTCTGCTCAAACTCAGTTTGAAGACTGACAGGATCCCCTTTCCTGAGACATCAGGGTAAAGAGGGGCACCTGTAAAACTTCAGTGGGTATTAAATTGCTGAAAGACTTGGTGTCTACATTTAGAAACCTATTAGTTATACTTTTCTGTGTCTTTAAGAAAAATGGTTGAATTTGAAGTATTAATGTCCTTGAGTAATTCACTTTTTTGGATACATATTGGTGCACATCTAAACGTTGCTGAAGTGGGACAGAGCTCCCAATATAAGCATCAATTTAATATTTTGCTGAGTGTACTGGAATAGTACAATGTAACAGAGACAAATTCTAAATGTGCTTCAGGTGAGAGAGTAAATTTATTTTGGTTTAAGAATAAAACTAGTGAACCAGTTGAAAGTGGCAACGATACAGTTTTAAGCTACATGACACAAATGTAAGTTCAGTTTTATCCTTTTTGAGTCTTTAGCAGCATATATTCGGCATGCTAAGAACTTGAACACTTATTTTGCTAGCAAAACTCACTTCTAATATATGAGCAAGGTTGAAGTTATTGGAAGACATTATGTATTTGAAATGCCTGTGCATCTTCTAACTGTACCAAAAAGATTAGCACTGAAATAGGGTGCTTGTTATACCTCTCATAGTGCTCAGAGTGGTTAAAATGTGGTATATTGTCTGGTATTAAAAATACAGCAATATTTCCATATGTAATAGTCAACCTTCTTTCAGAATATACATATTAATTATTTTTCAAGGGCTGTTTTGGCACTGAAGCAAAGCAAGACTAAAGTGGAAGCCATCTTGCAGGGTAAAGACCTTAATATGACGTTTCATGGAATTGGACAGTTTAACAACCAAGTTCTATATGTGAAAATGTTGGAGGAAGACCAGAAAATGTTGAGCAGAATTGCAGGTAAGTACCTAACCTGACTCTTTACCACTTGTGGTAAACCAATTTGTAGAGTCTGTCAGCTCTTGTAAGCGCTGGCCCGAGCAGCTGTGCATGGCCATGATGGTCTTTCCTCTTCTCTCCTCTTTTTCTTAATTGTTAAATGTGAAGCTGACAACTGGGATCCTGCAGAGCATGAGAGCTGAAAGTTCTCTGCACTAATTTGGGACAGGTGAGATGCACAGACATTTGACATGCCAAGATCACAGAGCAAGGCCCTCCAGTTAGGACCTTGCAGACCTGTGGTGTACATAGGGTCTTCAGAGTGACACCTCAAAACTGAGGCTGTTCATTCTAGAAACCTGGAAGCCTTTCAAGCATTGCCCCCAGCTAACGTTACGAACACTTCCTTTAAATTGGAGCATGCATGAAATCACAAGTACCTCTGGGACAGGAGGTGACAAATAGCAGTTTTTGCATACACATGTATACCATCAGCAAATCAGTCTTTTGTTTCCACTGTAGGAGATGGTACAGAAGTATGAGTAGCTTGTGTCTTCTGCTCCAATTTCCTAAAGCACTGATGGGTTTATGTAGATCTTCCAGATCTTTGACCTGCTTACCTGCAATTTCAGTACAATTTCAGAAGGAGTTGATGCTCTCGCCTTTCCCACCCTCTCTTTGTTCTGTTTTTAGGAGCTGCTTTAGCCTGCAATGCAGAACTTCATCTGTGTCCTGGGCTTCCACTTCCAACAGAGCAGAAATAATCAATATATATTTTTTCCTTGCTATTTTCATACTAAGCAAAAAGGAAGCATAGTTCAACCCATGCTTCTCAAAGGCATGCAGTACAAAGACGCTATGTAATCTTCAAAGGATATGACTTTTCAGCATAGCCTATTTTCTTTTTGTTGAAGCTGCTTCCTACCTCCTCCAGTTCTTAGCTTTGATATAATTGTGCTGCTCTCTTCTCCTCCTGTTTACTTTCCATCTTAAGTAGTCAATGTTGCAACTAAACAGAAGATGTGTCTTAGTATGAACAGCTGCTTTGCTTCAGCTAAATAAAATTAGCCCCTTCACTATGTTACCTTCTGCTTGACTCTGGTCTTCATTTCTCTTATTGTTTCCTCCATGGCAAACATAACTTTGACTCAAAACAGCTGTGGTTTTGTTGAAAGTACTGTGATGCTGTCCCTACTTATTAGGATTAGAGCCTCAACAATCTTCCTCATGCCCAAATTTTCTTCTAAAGTCTCTAACCCAAAATAATCTTGAGTGGAAGATGACTACTATTACTTGCACATGATGCAATTTCCTTTAAGATTGTGTTCGGTGCATGCCTGTCCACAACATATGTATACTTCAATGTCATTGAAAGAAGAGATTGCTTGACTGTTTTGATGCCCTCACCACCTTAGCTCATTCCTCACTCACTTCAGAAAGATGCAGAAGTGAATACCTCCTTTCTCTTGCTTGACTACTGCTGTTTTTCCCTCTACTCATTGTTTTGCTTAACTGAGAATTTTATTCCCAATGAATCATAGCATACAAGATCAACCTTTATTGTGCTATTTTAGCTCCAGCAGAAATGTTTAATTTTGGTTCTGCAGAACTTGTGCTATGATGCTCTCTTCTTTTTTTTTTTTTAATAGCATTGGAGCTGCATTAACTCTAAAAGCCATTACAATAGTAGGTGGCAGATGCTTTATGTTCTCTGCCTGGATAACTTATATCTTCAGGGTTCTAGAAACCTAGTGTCTAGCTTCTGAACTAAACCCCTTTCTTAATGAGATGGAGGAGAAAAATTTTGATTGCAAGCCCCAGGAATATTCTGTCAGTACTTGCGTGTTTTTTAAATGCAATATGATTGTTCACTGATTGCCTGAAATACTTCCTTGCCTGTAAGACAAGCTGCCAGTTTTCAAGCTGTTAACTCTGTCACCAATGGCTTTGCTATTCAGAGATGTAAGTTCCAGTGTTGTTCTCCTTTTTGCATAATTTCTGACCATTTATAGAACTTAATGAGTCTGGGCATTATGCAAATATGTATCAAAATCTATCCTTTTAATGACATCACTGAAGAGATCTTTCCTTTTTTCTCCTCCCCCCTCCCTCAGCATAGCAATTGAATTAATTTTTATACAATGAATAAGGATTTTTTTTCTTGTCTTTTAGTCAGTATTTTTGGTTGCTCATGAGGTAGGTGTGGATTTTCAAATGCTACCTTTTAAAGCAACATGATGGGCAAATTATTTGACTGGTAAAGGTCAAGCTGCTCCTGCCAGCTGCCTCTGTCTTGTCATGCCCTTATTGATGATTTGTCAACAACAGTTTAGCAGTTCAGCCTGGTCTAATGAAGTTTTTGAATCTTTGAATTGTTCCGGGCATTAGAAAATATAAAAATAGGTGACTGGCTTTTCATTTGCTTTCATTCCTACATCATGGACTCCAGTTTCAAAGTGGAGAGTTATCCTGTCTCTTGATCAGTTAACTGCAGTTAATTGGTAAATACTGGGCATTACTGGGCTTCTCTTGCTACTAGTGACCTCATCTGCTTTGAGAAAGAGGTACTGCTTGAAATATCTCAGATTATTCTTAGAATATTTATCGAAAGAGCAAGGGAAGATAGTGTCCAGAAAATTGAGTGCCATCTTGATGCGGGCAGGACATCAGCTATGCACCTTGTTTCTAAACTGACTTCATGAAGAAGATTCCTAGCCTTGACCTTTCTTCCATCATCAGCCTTTCCAGTAAGACTTTGCTCATGGCAGTAAGATCTTCGCCTTGCAGCAATAACTCCTTCCTGCTGTTTGGCAGGACTAGTGCTGGTTAGTGAACATGAGGAAATGCTAATTTCAGGTCTTTGATATGTTAAGCTCTAGTTTGCTGTTTTGTATGTGTCTAGAAGTTATTTGCACAGATGATGTGTGAGGAAGGGCTGCTTCCTAGAAGGAGCTTGGACACTTGGCTGCATGTGTTCCTTGGGGCTTTCTAGGCTTTGACCTACTGGTGTGGGAACAGAAGATTTTAACATACAGAAACTCTTCATGTTAATGTGATTTATTTCACAAAGTACCAGAGGCACTCTAGGGGTTATTTGATATCTAATCATAATTATCTAGTATCATTTTTCGATGCCCTGAAGTATCTATGATGTCCACACTGAACCTACAGTCAGACTGTACCCTTCTGTAGTGACAGCTGGAGGCCAGGTGGGCATCCTGTAGGGCATCTAAAAGGGCATTAGATGCTTGTTCAGGCAGCTGGATCCTATTCTTTATGTATTTTCCAGCTGGAAAAAATAAAGCAGTTGCCTTGGCAAAGTGACCAGATGGCCCCAGCTGCTGTTCCCTCAAAAATACTGAGAAGAAACATTTTAATGTATTAATTAGCTAAACTCTAAGCCAGAGACATGGTCTTCATACAAACGCATATCACAAACTACTAAACGCACATGTAGTTAAACTTGGTAGATGGAAACAAAATGGAAGTAGAGTGATTTCATGCAATGCACTCATCAAATATGTACTATGCTATTTTTAACGCAAATTTCAACAGTGAACTTGCTTCTCCCAGTGCCTAAGCAATTAAGGAGTAACGAAGATAGGTGGCAAGGAGTGGAGTCTGGCAGGAAGAGCCCCATAAATATTGCAGGTTTCTAGAGCATATGTTGACTTTTTTTTTTACTCTCTTCTCTCCTTCATATAACTGAGGTATAAAGACCTCCGGCAATAAGAAAAATTGCTGGAGAGAGGTTCTAAGTACTCCAGCTGTAGCCAAGGCTTTCAGTGTTGTTTTGGAATTATTCTTTATTGTTTAAGCACAACAGTTGGAGAAAGACACTTCATCTTCTGCCTAATGCAAGCTTCACCTCACTGTTCTTGTGAGACTGCATCCTTTCATTCTTCCAAGTTAATGAAAACTAAGGATAGGTCAACTTGGCTTCACTTGTCACTACAAACCTTAGCTGAAAGACCTTGAATATAAATTCTAGAGTTGCTCACAGATATTTTTTTTGTTGCACAATAAAACCTTATTGCTTTATAATTATGTGGCCAAAACTTTTAAACCAACATCACCGTAAGCACTTTGTATCACATAATCTAGGGAAGGAATACTGTGTTTGTGTGACTTTTCCTATTGAATTGCTCTAAGCGCTGCAGAGTCATCCTAGTTTTGGGAATCTTGCCACTATTTGCTGGAAGCACTTTGCTTCTTGCATTGCTTTTTGCAGTAATTGGGGAGATCTGTCCCATTGCTCTCCCCATCTGTGACCACTGGTGGCTGTATTTTGTTCCTGGCAGAGTTGCTGTGGGCATGTGTTTTCCCGAACTCACCGTTGTGACAGCAGGTCTGTGAATTCAGAGGGAATTGCATGGCAAACTTAAGTTTGGATCTAGTTTCAGGTTTGTAACATATGGCTATACTGTCATGCATAACTTTGTTTTTACTTATTTTTCATTTATCAGTATTGCCTGGGATGGTGTGACAACTAGTTATCCACTATGTGTTTTAACTGTGTGTCTCAAAGCAGGTACAGTGGGTTTTTACGTAACCACCCTGTATTTTTTTACCTACCCTCCCAATTGTTATTCTTTAACTTCTTATTTTACTTTCTTACTAGAAGCTGTGGAAGAATGCTTTAATGAAATGAATCTTGACATCTTGGGAAGCAAAGATTTCAAACCACATCTTACTTTCCTAAAGCTCTCCAAAGCACCAAGATTGAAGAGAAGGGTGAGTAATTAGGCTTAAAATATTTTTACTGGGGTCTGTTCTACTGATCATTTTCCTTCTAACAAAGATCTTTGCTCTAGGGTACAGTACAGAGTGCTTTCCTTCTGCTATGGCTGGTCAAATCTGCACAAAAACACAATGTCAAGCTGTTTCCATTGGGCAGGATGGCTTCTGAACAATATTTATCTGAGAATGAGATTAATGTCATGTTGGAAGCCAAGCTGGTGCTTTGATTTATGCTAGAAATGTGTGATGTGCTTTTCTAACCTTTACTGCAGCATTGTATGGGATTTTATCACATACAATTAAAGTAAAAAACAACTCTGATTAGATTGCTCATTTCCCAGTGGAATATTGTCCTGCTTGTTTCCAGGAATAGTACTTGTATTTATGAGGTCAATATATTGCAAACCTGAAACACTAAAGGAGCACGCACAAAGAAAACAGAAAATGCTATAATAGCTGAAGAAAATGACCTTGTATTTGTGCACTTTAAGTACTTCATATTGACTTGATATTTGCCTTCTGTATACATGGTACAATCAAAGCTGGATAGTACTGATAGTTCTGTGCTGGAGGCTTCTTCTTTTATACTGCCTATGGGGAATTTCATGAGTATAGACATCAGCAATGTCCAATGCAACAAAAAGTACAACAGGTAGGAATTATTTTCACACTTCCTTTTACTATCAAATTTAAAGTAAAAAATAAATTTCTTGCATGTTCTCCTCCTTTATCTCTAGCACCAAATATGGCATATATTCCTGCGTAGTATGATTCATGTATGCAATCTCTTTGCTTATAAATATGCAAATATGTATGTGTACAGAGCTTTGAATGTTTGAATATCAAGTAAGTGGGGAGACCAGAACTGGGTACAGCACTCCAGGTATGGCCTCACCAGTGCTGAGCAGGGCAAGACAACACTTCTCCTGACACAGCCCAGGGTACTGCTGGCTGGCTTTGCTGCAAGGACACATTGCTGGTTCATGGTAATCTTTGTGTCCACCAGGACCTTTTCTGCAAAGCTGCTTTACAGAGCCCTCAGCCTGTACTGGTGTGTGAGGTTATTCATCCCCAGTGGCATGACTTTGAACTTGCTGAACTTCATGAGGCTCCCGTCAGCCCATTTCTCCAGCCTGTTGAGGACCCTCTGGATGGCAGCACAACTCTCTGGTGAATCAGCCACTTCTCCCAGCTTTGTCACTGGTGAAGTTGCTGAGGGTGCACTCTGCCCCATTATCCAGATGATTAATGAAGGTGCTGAACAGTACTGAACCCAGTATTGACGCCCAGAGTACACCTCTAGTTACCAGCCTCCAACTAGACTTTGTGCTCTCCGGCCCTGGTTGTTCAGTCAGTTTTCAATCCACCTCACTATCTATTCATCCAGCTGATACTTTGTCAGCTTCTCTATGAGGATCTTGTGGGAAAACAGTATCAAAAGCCTTCCTGAAATCTAGGTAGGCAATATTCATTGATCTTCCATTGTCTACCAAGCATTGCTCATTCCTGTCCAAACTTGTTTACACCTTAAAACTGTTGATCCTAAAATACTATTCTACACATCAGGGCTGTGAAATCAAAGTGGAACAGGGCAGTGTGTTAAGTTAATTATTAGGGGACATGTGGACTTCGTATGTCCATGTACAAATCTCCCTGAGGTTAGTAAGGCTCAGCCCTAGACATAGGACTTAACCACAAAGATTAGTGTGTATGTATTTTGAGATCCGACATGTCAACTGAAAATACTGACAATGTACTGTAACTCTTTCAAAATCAAAATGTAATGGGAAAAGAAAGGAAGAAAACGGACTGATTCCATAATATCGCAGTCCTAAAGACTTCAGGACAGAAATCAGCCTTCCTAAACACTAGAAGATGCCAAAGTATGAATAAGACAAAATATTACTTTAGTTATTATGATGCCATCTACTGGCTGTAATTACTTTCTTTATTCCATAAATAACTTTCCTTGTAGTAAGGATGCAGTTTAAGTACTTCATGAAACTTAAGTGCTTCTTATATGAAGCTTGAGAAATAATTTCTAACACTCACTCAAGTGCTTTAACAAGACAGGTTATGTGACGATACTGGTGGAGCAGCTGCAGACCTCGTTCTTATTTGTGAGGAAGGAGAAGCTGCTTCTCTTTAAAACAACTGCAAACTTTCATCTCGGGAAATTGTATGTCTTTGACTCTAGTTGTGTGTCTAAAGATCCCAAGAGGTTGGGGAGAGCTTGGTTTGTGTGTTATTTAGCTTGAATGGCTACCAAAGCAGCAGTACGTGCTGTTTGTTGATTGGGTTCAAAACATGTAGTGTGCCCTGGCATAAATATAAAATACAGGCTTTTAGGGTTTTCTGACCTCTCTGTTTCCAATGAGCCAAAAGCGAACAGTTCACCCCTTAAAAGAATCCACTTCAGTACCTGTCTGTAGTAAGAGCCTTCTCCAGCACGCAGACTAAGTGCTTTTGTCTGTGCAGGTTGTTATCCTCCAGTGCTGGGTGCTGTTTGCGCTTGCCTATGGCAGAGCAAAGCTGTGGATCAAGTGTCTCTAGGCTAAAGGCGAAAATGTTTGTTCTTGGTTTTTATGCTCGTTTAAGTAATTCACTTGGTGCAGGCCTGCAAAGAGCTGTGGTCTGTCCTGGGTGGTGAGAGAGCAGCGATCCTGCAGTCACATACTTGTATTGAAATATATAGTTTTTTTAGTGAAAGAGACCCTAATCCTGCCCTCTTCTGGCTACTCGATAAGTTACCTTCAACGACACGACCTTAAGTTTCCACCATCCTCCCGAATTACACAGAGAACAGCCCATGTGCAGTGTACCTCTGCATTTAAGCTGAACTTGTACATGGTGGCGTAAAGCTGATGTGTAGCTCTGGGCTACCGAGCAGCCTGACTCTGATGCATGAGCATCTCTGGGGCACAGAAAAAGGTGTGCAGTTTGTTTAATTAAACTTTGAAGTGTTTTGGTAATAGGAGTTTGATGTATTTGAATTTAAATTGACGTATTTGAATTTAAAGCTATTAATACCTAGTTTTGTTCAGGTGATGCTAGCTGTTCTGGCCATCCTCCAGCAATCCCCATGCCATGAACCACACATGTGTGGGAGTCTGCTAAAAAGGCTGTCCTTACAAGGAACGAAGCTTGTAACGGGTCCTTTCTGTTTCTGATTTTAATTGTGCACTCCTGTGTGTTCAGGGGCAGGGCTGAACAAACTGATTGAGACTTCTTTGAGGCAATGTGCTGCAAGGAGCTCCTTGGAGCCTTGTTAGCTGCCTTGCTCATTAAGTTACGGGAAGACGGAGACTATTCCCTGTTGCTTAATGATTCATCTGTCCTTCATGTCATCTCCTTGTGTGCCCCTGGCATATGTGGTTTATTACAGGCTAAATGCTTTGTGGGAGTCCCTTAGTTAATTTGGCAGCCCGCTGCTGACTCAGTTGAAGCCACGGAGACTGTGGAACTGTTGAGTTGCTCTCTCATCCCCGGTGACACCTATGTAGGGGAGCCAGCCCTGCTCTCCTCGAGTTTGTCAGCGGAGAGAACTGCTAAGAAATTATTCAGACAAGGGGGACTGTTGATTTTAAATTTTGACAATCCTAAATTACAATGGCTTCTGAACATGTGCCTTGGCTATGGCAGTGAGTTACTCTTTCTTAGTCCAAAAAGGGCATGTCAACATCTGAAAATGCATTTATAGGACCAAATACTTGCATTTATTTGCTATGTCTGCATTTGACTGTTGGGATACTAGCAGTGCTTGGTAGCTGTCTAAAAGCTGCTTTGATTTTCTTTTTCTTTTCTTGCTTGCTGAGATGAGCTTGCTTTCACAATAAGTCACTCAAATTTCTTTGGAATACTCTTTACTCACAGGGAAGAAGGTGCACCAGCTTTATTTCTAACCTGTCTCTAGCACACCATATAATTACTGTTGTGGAATCTGTACTCCAAGGAGAATAACTAATTTTTCAGTCTGTAAAGCCAGGAATGGGATGCAAGTGAGCAAAGTAAACTTTAGATGAAATAAAGAAATCTCTCCTAAAGGCAATTCAGGAGACTAGGGAATAGCTTCTCAATGAGTGCAGTGACTGAGAATTTGCTTGAAATATCTAAAATTAGGTGGAAGCATTTGGGGAATAGTGGGTTAAATGAATCTGTTTCTGTATATTTGGTATGTTTTTCCTTGCGGAGGGTGGGGTAGGTAGGGGATTCAGCAAAAGCCAAACTTTCTATAACTTCTAGTAAGTTGATTTTTTTTTTTATTAGTAACAACTTAAATAATACCAAATAAAGTTGCTATTGCTATTCTAATCTAAGAGGGAGTATTTTCTTTAAGTTTTGTTAACATAATACTTGATATATCTTATGTTTCTAAAGTGCAAATATTTTTGCTTTTGTATATATAATACACATATAATGTCACATTGCTCTTTCAATATTTAGGGCTTCAGAAAAATTTGTTCGGATCTTTATAAAGAATATGAAGACAGTTACTTTGGTACAGAGGTCTTCAGCCAAATTGATCTCTGCGCTATGCGTAAGAAGAAGCAGGAATCTGGTTACTATTACTGTGAGTGTTCAATTAACGTGGGCTCCAGAAGTACAGAAGAGAGTAAAAAGCAAGAAATGCAGATGGAATTTGTGGGAGAAACAACTGGTGAAGACCTTCCAAATAGTGCTGCAAAGGCTGAAATAGGAGCAACTGCTGCAAGCTGTAAGCTTGCCTCATGTTTAGTCGTAGCTGATGACAAACCATCTGAAAATATTGCTGAGGTTTCAATTGCAAGCAAAGAAATAGAAATGGATGAGGTGAAGGGACAGCCCGAAGCTACAGATGGGACTTTTCTTGCAGCTGGAGAGATCTGCTCGAAGTCAGAAGTTGGTCTGTTGCCAGGAAGTTCAGATGCATTGAAAAGCGTTGAAAAGGAACAAGAAAAAGCAGAGATAAGAGATGGAAGCTTGGAGAAAACTGAAGCAACGGGAATATGCACCTGATCAGCCAACAAGCTCAGGATAGAGTTGTTCCAGTCCCTGGTGAGCTGAACCCACAATTGGTGACAGTGGAGAAAGCAGAAAACCACTGTGGTATGGGGCCGCACTGGGCTGAGGTAGGGTGTGAGGATGGTGAATTCATTTTTTTGCAGAAAATAGTCTTTTTAGGAGACTGGCAAAACTGAAAGTATAACAGAATCCATGAGGGAAACTATCACTGAATATTGTGTCCAGACAATGAAAACACCTAGGTCTGAACAAGAACCTGTGCTGCAGGTGTGAGTGAGCATCTGTAACACAAATGATCTCTGATTCACAAGATCAGGCCCTTCAGAAGTCACATATTGATAACAAAGTCGTTGCCAGACACCTCTGGTGCCCAAATGCACATTTTTGCCTTTGGTGCATTTCCTCCTGCTCAGTTTCCCCCACTGCTCTGGGTCTGCAGCCCTGGTTTTGCTCCCTCCTTTGCCCGCCTGTCTTCTCTGAGTGCTGCCTAAAGACACCTCTTGCCTGATCGCTCCAGCTGCTCTGACAGTGACTGACACAATCGTTCACTGCATGTCCATAAACGGTAGATGATTTTTAGCTGTTAACATGCTTTTGTGAAATCTGTGCTTTCCTTTGACTAGTAGTGACTTAATGAGAAAATTATTTTGCCTGACTTACAGAAATATGTTTGTTGGAAAAAAGTAAGCTACAAGGCTAAATTTTCTTTAGATACAGAGAAGGAGAGGAAGAGGAATCCATAACAAATTATATTTGGTAAAATGCCTTGAGGAGGAAACAAGGCACAACAGCCTTTTTTTCTAAGTTATGTTGTAGTCCCACATGTATGTTAGTGAAGAACCGGATAAAACAGAGCTGTGTTCACTTCTGGCAAGAAGAGACTAAGGGGTTTGGACCACTGCTGGGGCTGGAGTCTCCTGCCCTTGCCTGTCGCCTTCTGAAGCCGAAGGGATGAGCTGTGCTCCCTAGCCAAGCCTGCCTGACCTACCTGCGACATGGGGAAAGAACCCTTTTTTTTTTTTCCCCGGTGGAGCATCACGGCGGAGGGAAACCGGTAGATGGCACTACGGCAAAAAACAGCTGCCAGCGGGAAGGGGACCGGCCGCCTCCGGGACCCCGGCACCGGGCTCAGGTGTCGCTAAAAGGGGCGACCAATGCGGAGGAAGGCGGCCAGGCGCTTGGAAAGTGTCTGGCTTCCCTCTTCTGCTCTAATTGCTTCTCGGAAAAGCGGTATTTAGTCTTTTAAATGCTCCAGCTTTCCTTGAAAAGGGTGCATTTCGGAAAAAGCATGTGATCAAGTAGCTTTTTTCCCCTCAAAAAAAAATTTAAGCGTATGGTGTTTTGCTTACCTACACGGTGTGTGGGAATAGAGCTTCGGGCAGAGTGGCTAGGATGCCCTCTGTTAAAGTAATATCAAGCTATTTTAAACCTGTCCCACATGTTACCAGACTTTAAAAAAAAAAAACCAACAAAAAACAACCCACAGAAAAATCCCCAAAACAAATGAACAAAAAACCCCCCACAAAATAAACCAACAACAAACCCCACAACTCTGTATTTGTTCCCTTTTCACAGAGAGGGGGCAGAAACCAAACCCACCAGCCAGCCACTGTGCTGGACGAAAGGGAAGGCTTTGCATTTAATGAAACTGCTTTGTACTCAGCCCCGGGTCTGTGTCAGATCCCTTGCGCCGCAGCGCTTGGCACAGCATTTATTTTTGCGTCCCTCCACTGAAAGTTGTGGACTTTCAAAAGGCTGTCCCCAAATGGTCTTCTAAATGCAAATTCGAGAGAAGTTATTTCCAGTTTCTCTGGGGTCTTCAAAACAAAGCTAAATTACTCAGTGTTAGAGGAGGAGTTCAAGGTTAATGTGGGGGGATAGTTAAGAGCAAGACTTCCATAGCGCATCTCTATACCAGCACATTCTGCATGAATTTATTTTCCAGAAAAGTTTGCTTTAAATACACACTGAGGAAACAGTGTTTCTTAATGATTTCTTAATTCAGAAAAGGATCAGCAGTGTCATTCATCTTAGGAATTTAAGTGGATTCAATGGCCTAGGACCAAGTATGCTTTACAACAAGCTGTATTTGTTCTTATTGAAAATGTTAATTATCTTTTTATAGACAGATGGCACTGGAGTGTAGCAAATGTGTGGTGAACCTGTGCTCATAAATGTTTGGGTTTCTAATGTGTACAGGTTCCAATTTAAGTTTAATTCTGTTTTAGGATTATTGTGATGATTATAGAGTAATGAATTTCACTTATCTTGGGAGTATAATGCACTTGCTTTGGTACATTGAGTTAAAATAAATACTTAAGTTGTATCATTGTGATTAATCTTGGCAATTTAGAACAGTGCTTAAAACAAAATATCTACCAAATACAGTATTCAGCTTTTTATTCTCTAATGACAACCAAGTCAAAATAAGCTTCTATAATGCTGTTCAAATCATAACAGCATATTTTCAGCCTTGTGATGGAGAATATAAAATAAGTCTTGAATCTTGTTGGTGCTCTGCTTTAGCCATGAGGGCCTATGTTTTCGTTCCAAGTGGTTTTTTATTCAAATGAATTGAAATATATTTGATTATTAGACACTTCTGGTATGAGTAGGGCAGGTGGGAGACAGTTCCTGAAAAGAAAATAATTTAGCAGATTAATTGTCCTTTATGACTACTGTAGGGAAATTACACTGTGAAATATAGGTGCAAAGTGAGTTTGATTCATTCTTTGTGATCTCTGCATTTACTGTGTTGTTTTCTATTTTTTTTCCCTTTATGGTCTCTAACTTGCCTATTTTTTTCCCTTTGAGGAACTTGCTTTATAAGCATTAATAGTTTGTGCAGAAGATAAACACAATCTGCTAATATCTTCTAATTAAGCTTAGTTTAATGTAACTTCAGTTATTGAAACAATGGTACAACACTGAGATGGGAGAGAATTTGCGTTAAATATTACCCACTGGCTGTGATTTTTTTTTTTTCTTCTTTTGGAAAGAATTAAATGCTGAATTGCACTGCAATGATGATTGTTTTCCAAGTAAGTTGAGAGGAGGCTTCGGCAAAAACATCTCCCTGCTTCTTGGCTGGTTTTAATTGGATGTTTGTTAAACTAACTGGTCTAATAAACAGGATTGAAAAGCCAAAGGAAGGAGTGTTCTATAAATACCTTATCCTGATGAGTACTCTGTTGCTGGCTGCTGCATTAAACATCAGATGAGCCTTTGCCATCTGAACAGCTGAGGCAGTTCTTGCTTCTGGATATTACATTTTTGGAGGGGTTAAATGCAGCTGAGTGAGAGCCCCCTATCTGTGGGTTAAGTTAAAATAAATAAAGATTATATTGGTTGGTCCAGCTGGCTTTCCCTTTCCATAGTCCTTATACTTTCTACATATGCAGAAGAGAGCAGATATACCTCCTCCTTTACCTACACTTCATGTCAGGAAGATGCCAGCCTCTTCTATTGGCATAGCAGAGCCAGCAGATATGTAGTACCTTCAGCTTGGAGCCCTCCGAGCATCTGGCTATAGGCATCTTATATGCCTGATCCTTCAACCAGCAGCAGGCAGTTTTAGGGGTGAGTAGCAATCTAACCTTCTTGTTCCCTGTGCTTTTTGAGGCATGGCATTTCCATGTGTATATTCTGCTGTTGTTAGCCACAGCTTCTGTCGTGATAATATATTGTACAATAAAAGTCCTGTGTTGTCTACGGGCAGGGAGAAGGGAATAATCCCTCAATTCAAAACATTTACCAAAACTTGTTCTTGTTCCCCATAAACTGATTTTTTTTTAATTAAAAAAAAATCCCAAGAGACAAGTCCCCTACTTGGCCTTGAAGCGATTTCTTGCACAGTCCCACTCTTGCATCAGTACCCTGACACCCAGTTGATTGAAGGGCTGCAGTCATTTAGCTGAGAGGCTTTTGCTTATGGCACTCTGGAGTGTTGACTAAGTGGGTCAGACCAAAACTATGGATTTTTCTCTGTTAGGAAACCTTCTGTTTCTTTCTCATCATGTTGTCATGAAACTAAAAGCAGATGCAGGTCTCTGACAAGTACTCCCATTCAAAAAGTCATCTCTTTGGGCATATTTTAACTCGGGTGAACATTGTCTTTGTGGGAGTGACTATTCAGAGTTAGTGCCAGGAAGACACATTTAGGGGCCCATAAATCCTAAGCAACTTAATGTAATTGTATTGTACAGTTTCCTTCACAAAACCACTCCCAGATGGGCTTAAGTGCAGGCACTGTGTAGGCTTAACACCTCTGAAGCTGGCTTTCTACCATAGATTTTGATCACTGACCTGTGCAGCAGAAACGTGAAGCAATTCTCATAAAGAGACTCTAAAAAGCCTATATGTTTAGATCAGAGCATACTTTTCTTATTCACAGGAGAGAAATTAAATACTCTGTAAAAAATTAGATATTTTAGGTATTGAATGTCCACCCAGGGCTTTTTCTTTTCTGTTCTGGAGATTTGACTTTTAATCTTATAATTAGAAAAACTGCTTTTAAGACCAGCTGAAAACATTGACAACTGCTTTCAGAAATGTTATTTAATTTTTTTCCAAGTTTAAAGATGTGGGGACTTAAGTTTTTTCATCGTAAATTCCAGTACTTGGATCAGAGGTGGAGAAACAAATCTTGTTTTTAAACTGGACATACCACTTAAGTAATTCTGTCTACAAAATGAAAAACCCAGCGAATTGCTGCCTGGCTGTTTGCTAGCCTTTCAGCTTTCAGTTTCTTAAGGTAAAGAAGACTGATGACTGCCTGTATGTGCTAGTAGCTTATATACCTCTTTGCTAGAAATCCAGCATTTATACCTGCTGGTAGGTGCCTGGTTCAACTTTTATGCTGTTAAAGAAGAATAAAATAATGTTGAATAACCATAAAACAGTAGAGACATTTACCAGGTAAATACATCAGGGAGATGTGATTACACTGGGTTTCTAATATATTTGTAAAGTTTATGTGAAGTTTGACTTGTCTC